AGCGTTGCTTCAATTGAAAATCAAAATGTAGCTTTTGAAAGCAATAGATTCATACTAAGAGGAATGAGGATGGGGCGAAAAATCTAGATAAATGTGAATTCTGTAAAATTCCTTTAATATCAATCCTCCTTAACACTCCAGTTCAGCTTAGTTGGTGACGGAATGAACTACAGCAGACTATTTCGACGCAAAATCCAGTTTTGAAAATCAAGCAGCCTATCCTCAACATGCCTCTTTCAAAGCAGGTTAGTGAATTCTTGAAGCTAATTAAAGAGAGTCGAATGTTCCTCGGTAACAAAGAATAAGGAAAAATCGTCCCAACGCAAATTGGTATGCCACACCCAAAACATGCTCCTTAAACATTATGACCTTACACTAAAATCAGGTAAAGCTATGATTGCCGCAAGCTAGCTGCAATTTTAGTAATTCCACAAAAGCTTGAAGAAAATAGGCTTCCACAGATTTAAATCTGTGCCTCTCAGAACTAGTTAGGCACCGCTACTAAGCTACTAACCAACTAGGAATCTTTTTAAAAGTTTTTCTTTCCCGTGAAGAAATCTGAGCCTCCCGCCTGTCACTGGCGGTTAATTTGCAGTCAATTTTGTATAGCTCCACCTTTGTGCCCTGTTTCCCCCGTCCTGATAAAGTAGATGAACCCTTCTCAGTAATGACACCACGCAAACAAAAATTCCACGAGACAAAAATCAATGATAGACTGTATTTGGTCGCTTTTGACAGAAAAATACCGTCGTAGTGTGTCGCTATACTAGCTAATTAACCTGTCTTCGCGTATCAGTTATGGCTCATTTAATTCATTCTGCATGTTCTCAAGCTTCAACCTCACCTTTCAGTTTAATTCAGTGCAGCGTTTATTTCTAATTCAATTCAATATTGCAGCTCATGGAAATATTTTGAAAGAAGGTCAAAGAGTAGGACAATTATGTATAGAGCCAAATGGTGTGATAGTTATTTTCATAGGGCGTAAGCTATATCTTAATAATAGATATGGATCAGATAGTGAGCAAGTTATCCACTGGAAAATTAAAATGCCAGCTTAGGTTTATGAATTATTAGTGTCGGTAGAAAATGGTCGTTTCTGTGCTTTTTATTAATTCAGGTCATTCTAAAAGACATGAATATGAAATATGAAATGAAGGGCAGTGTCCATGGACATGACTTTAAGATCGTAGCCGGAGGAAAAGGAAGGCCTAACGAATAAGTGTCTGTAAAAAGACAGACCACGATGAATTATTTCACTATTATGCATTACAATTTATTGTTAAAAAATATGGATAAGTTCATAGCGGAGCTCGCAGCGCAAGCAGCGTAATCTCTTAACTATACGAAATAATAGTAACCCGTCAAGCCGAGAAAATTTGGACTTACGACCGTACGCCAGAGCGTACAAGGTGCTACTTTTAGCATGCGCGGTCAACTGCATTTCTTAGCCATTACCTAATCGAAGGGCGCAGGAGAAGGTAATGCGCAGGTGCGATTGCGTGCGTAACTTGGATACCCGATTAGTGTGCGCCAGGAAACACCGACAGATGACAATGAGGTGCCCATACTCGAGTGCTGAGCCTTAGTACAGCTTACCGCGGGCACACGGTTTGGCATTACACAAGGGCTTGACGTGGACTTCACGCGGGCAAGTAGATGTGAAGCAAGTGGATGTTGAGCGGGAATCAAACCGGTGGGGTTGTTGTTGAACAGTAATTCTCAGTATTTTCCAATTTATAATCAACTTGCACAGCAACAACACCGGCAGAGCTGAAACTTTGTCAACCGGAGGAAATTATTATAATTCAAGTTCGTAGAGAGAGGGTTCTGAGTGTAATGTGAATCTACCATTGCCATTAGGACAATAGAGTAGAAATTCTTAAAATTATGGTACTCTTTGCATGCCTGAAGTTCTCCAGGTGGGCATTTCATGAGAATATGACTACAATCTATTGCTGTCCAGCAGCAAGGAAATTGCCAAAATTCTTCCATGTCGAGAATTTTTTGTTTGAACTCCTCTTCCGTCTGGGGCATGTCAGTTGACACAGTCTCATTTCACAAATGGTCCACCAGGACTTGACAGACTTCCTGACAGATTGAGGAGACAGTGGAGACACCCAGTCCAGACATTTCTGAAATGGTATAGAGATAATCTCCTATGCCTAGTGTGTACAGACAAATAGCAAGCCTCATTGCTGACGTTATTGGTTCTTCCGTCACAGTTTCCCGAACAAGTGAGGGTGCAATACGGTTTAGGATGAAATTAAATGTTTCCCGGGATACTCTGAAGGTTTTCCTGAACCTTGCATCTGAAAAGGTATTACGAACTTTCTCCCACCAGCCAGTATTTCTTTTCAGCTGACGACAAGAACGAACTGGACGAGGAACTGTGATGTTCCTTTGGGAAATCAGCAATGATAGAAGGCAAGTCAAATTCAAAAATCGCTTTCTCCTGGCAACGAGGTTGCTTAACGCTAACCGCATCTGAAGTGGCCTTCTTCTACCCTCCTTGATCGCACATGCAAGAAAAACAAGCTCTTCATTTCCACAATTTGCCTTTCCCGCAATTTTTTTCGCCATTTTTAAGCAATAACCGCTGACCACAAAAGTGTCATGTTCACTTTTGCAATTAAGTTCGACCCAATTAGCCGAACTCAATTATTTGGGTCGACCCAAACTGGTATTAGGTTCAGCGCATGTAAAGTTCGACGTTTGAACCGGGCCTAAGAGAATAAAGAAGAGGTTAAAAATAAATCTCAGATGTACACTATAAAAAAGGGTATAGAAGAGATTAAAAATAACTCTCAGGTAAACATTACCCAAGAGGGTATAAAAGAGTTTAAAAGTTACCCTCAGGTAAACACTACCAAAGTGGTTAGAGAAGATGTTAAAAAACAGCCCTCAGGTATACACTGCCTAAGAGGGTGTAGAAGAGAGTAAAAGTAAACCACAGGTATACACAACCAAAGTGGGTAGACAAGATATTAAAAATAGCTTTCAGTTCTACACTTCCCAAGAGGGTATAGAAGGGTTTAAAAATTAACCTTCAGGTATACACTACCTAAGAGGGTATAGAAGAGATTAAAAGTAAACCTCAGGTATACACTAACAAAGTGGGTAGAGAAGATATTAAAAATAGCTTTCAGGTCTACACTACCCAAGACGATAAAAAGAAGATTAAAAATAACCCTCAGGTATACACTACTCAAGAGGTTAAAGGAGAGATTAAAAGTAGCCCTCGTGTATCCACTACAGGTGCATCGCCCGCAAACCACAGACAGAACAATACCGTCGTAGTCTGTCGCTATAACAGCGAATTAACCTGTCTTCACGTGTCAGTTATGACTCATTCAGATCATTCCAGGAGAAGTGTTTATGGAATTTGAAATAAAGGGCAGTGTTACTAAATGGACATTACTTTGAGATGAAAGGTGAAGGAAAAGGAAAGCCTTACGAGTAAGTGTCTATCAAATGACAGACCACGATGAATTACTTCATTACTAATTATTAAGATTTAATTTTAAACACAGAGTGGAATTAGATCACATTGCAGTTGTCAAATAAGGCCCGATATCCCGTTATCAATGATTTTTGGAAATTACCTAAATGAATAAAGACTCTTTTGAAAAACAAAGTGAACAAGATCAAAGATACATAAGAAGATTTTCGGTCATAAACTATGAGCCTGTTTTTATCCGCATTTGCAAATTACCAACAGTCTACATATGACATCGACTTCTTCATCTGTTTCCAGAACAGAGCGAAGTGGAAAGCTACTACAATTTATCGTATAAAAGCTCAGTCACAGCTAAATTTATTCGCGATACTTTAATTTCCTACAACTTAACATGAAAGGTTATGCAGTATTTTACTTAAGTTTGAATTATCATGGGCATAACATATTTCGTTCTCCCTAATTTTCGTTTATTTCAGGTCATACAAGAGCCGTTTCTGAAAATAATTTCCAACACCCCTATCATCTAGAGGAATACAGAAGTCCACTTATTGGGTCACTAAAGGAGGACCCCTTTCATTTTCCTTTGATGTACTGTCGTCAGCGTTCATATGGAAACAGATGCTTCACCGAATAGCTGCCGACATGCCCGACTTTTTCGAACAAGCATTTCCTGCTGGAATGTGATATGAAAGGACCTTTAAAATTTGAGGATGGAGGCGTTGCTCCTATCATCTTATTCTAGAGGAATACGGAAGTCCACTTATTGGGTCACTAAAGGAGGACCCCTTTCATTTTCCTCTGACCTACTGTCGTCAGCGTTCAAATATGGCTACAGATGCTTCACCGAATACCATGCCGACATACCCGACTTTTTCGATTAAGCATTTCCTGCTGGAATGTGATATGAAAGGACCTTTAATATTTGAGGATGGAGGAGTTGCTACAGCCAGTGGACACATTAGGTATAAAAGTGATGTTTAGTTTGGGATTAAGATAATACTCTTTAAAAGAAATCTTCAAGGTCATTTTTGCTCGGTGCGAGGAGCGCTCTATTTGATATGTAACTTTGTTGTCATTCTCTCGAGAACGCGTCGTGTCTACATACAGAGGAACAAACCTACACAAAAAAGCATAGTTACTAGAGAATATGCAGACTACTGCATTTTCAAATAGGCATCTGTTAGAAAATGGGTTTGATTTAAAAAAACATCGCAGCAGAAATGACAAAATCTAAAAAATAAAAGGCGATAACGCATTATTCTATACAGCACATTGCATTCAAAGTAAATGACACAGCTAAAAGGTTTATTTTATACATTTTTATTGATATCTCAAGTTTCTTAATTTTTACTGTCTTGAGGGTAATTAATCTAAGCTCAGGTGAGAACAAATTATGACGATATAGAAGAAGTAACCCTCAGGTATATACCACCCAGGAGGCGCAGAGTGGCCGGACATGTTTAATATTCATACCTCATTAGCAGCACATTAGCATAACAGCAACGCGATCGAACACGAAATTTGAAGACCAGCAATCAACATTTTAAAGGAAATGGTGCCAGAAAAGGACGAACACCTAACTTTAATTTTCATTCTAAATGGGTCTCATTTGGAAAAGTCAACACTTGTAGGCTGCAAAATAAAAATGAAAGTGCGCTTATTTAATCGAGACCCTCAGGAGAAGGACACGACTTCTAAAAACTATTGGAAATTTGTGTTAAAATGTGAACGATTTTGTAGCCGTTTTATATGACAATTTTAAACTGTTTAATTTCTAATTTAAATTTCTAGTTTCTGGTCCAACTTTTATGAACTTGTAACTTAAAAAGTTTCTTTAAAAAGGAAATTCAGATACTAAGCTTAACTATTAAGAATAGCGGAAAAGGATTTACTTGGAATTTGCACTCCCTGCAATTCGTGTCACATAATGAGTAGAAAATGAGCCATTTTGCTGATTAATATACATGTATTCAGCTTCTCTAAGTTCATGAATCTTGCTTTAGCGCCGCCTTTAACGCTTCCTTGGGTGTTCGCTAACGGCTGAAATGTACTTCTCAGTCTGCCGGATTTTGTTGTGATCTCTGACGAACATTTACGATCACGGCTGACTGTCAGAGTTGTAAGCTATCACCAGAAAGTGGAAATATATTTGGAACTCGAAGTGGTGATTTAATTTGCAGATAGATATTTGACGTTTTAAGCAGTTTTGCCCATGTTCTGAGTAATCCTTTAAATCTTGCTCAGTGGAAAGAGAAAGATGAGTGCTGGAAAATTCACTCGCGAGACAGCTGCTAAAGCCTTTTGAAATAACTGAAATAATGATAAATTTTTGAGCTTCAGAGAACGCGTTTTTCGTTGTTGGATTTTGAACACCGATTTGAATGAAACATTTGTTCATCTGTCAAAGAGAAAATGAACGTAAATCAGCTTGTCAGACCGCTGAAAGTACTACCAGAACAGCAAAAATTTTGCTTGCGCCTTATGGTAAATGATGTAAAAGAATTTGCACCAACGTTTCACGCGTAAGCACTCATTGATATTTTTGTGGCTGTTTAAAAAGTCAAGTGCCGCTGCGAAAGTTTGAGGTGCTTTCTGCCCCCTGTGCCAACCTTACTGGAATTCGGCTCGATAGTGCCATTTCGCGGCCAAAACTATTTCAGTCACCAAATTTGTCTAGCACAGGATAAAAACAAACAAAGATGGGTCGATGCCTCTTCAAAGAATGTAAAACAGCAAACATTTGCAAGTCTTCTCTGCTAACAATGGGGTGCTGACGCGTACTGCCGGCCGATCCAGAGCATTTATCGCGCTCGTTTGTTTTCCGTGCAGAATCGCCTAACATGTTAGTTGCTATCAACATGGCGTAATGGATGAACGAGTGGTTTGTCTTAAGGACATAATGAATTATCGTTCAGTATCAAAAGCGCAAGAACGAAAGAGTTATTCTAGTGATTTGTTTGTCAAGTCGCGCGGCAAAGCCTACGACAATTGAAAATTCCCTGAGGACTAATTTCAACACAGTCTGTCTCCACAGCAGAGAAAAGTTATTTTAGGAACCTCATTCCGTTTAAGTGAAAAATAGCAGTTCTATTACGGATTCCACCTTTCATGGCATTTAATCGAAATTCAGCGCATGATCGGAATAAGCGATCGGGATTGCTCGGAACTCTATTATTGTTCTCTGCTAGTACATTTGATGGACAGCTCAGTTCCACTGGCTATTCGCAACTGCAGGAAGTTTTGAGTAAAATTTGCATTTTTAAGGCAAACTGCAACCAATTATAGTCCCTCGACAACCCACATGGGAGCTCTAGTGCGTCATAACTAATTCGTACCATTAAGTAAGTATATGTCCTTCAAACAAAAGCCATTCTACGCGAAATTTATCTAAGCTCAGGTAAAAACAAACCATTAGTATAGAAGTAACCCTCAGGTATACACTACCCAGTAAGGTATAGAAGAGATTAAAAATGACACTCAGGTATATACTACCCAAGAGGGTATATACTATGTAATTTAGTGTTAACAACTGGGTTGAAAACGTAAATTAGCCACCGTAAAAGGGTAAAAAAGCTGACGTTTCGAGCGTTAGCCCTTCGTCAGAGCGATTAGAGGAATTGTGGGTTGTGTGTGGATTTATATGCAGAAAGTGGAGCTATGCCATTGGTGGGAATATGGTGACGAGAAAACAGGAATAAATGAGTTGAATGAAAAGCGCTCGTTGATTCCGTGGGGATTAAGAGTGCCGATTTGGAATATAAATTTTTGTTCTGGTGTTTTGCGGCTTTCCGAACTGTCTAGATGTAAGGAAAGGCCGCAAACTGCCATATGTTGTTTAGAATGATTAGGAAGATTAAAGTGTCCAGCGACTGGTTTGGATGCGTCCTTGTCATTTCTTTCCACATCGCAAAGGTGTTCTCGGAATCGGTCACCCAGTCGTCTTCCTGTTTCGCCGATGTATAACTTATTGCAATAAGTGCAAGTTCTGCAGTAAATAACATTGGCGGAGGTACACGTAAAGTGATCAATGATCTTAATGGATC